ATTTTTTCCTTAATTTTCTTAATAATTTTTGGGATAATGAATTTTTTCCCCTTTATCCTTTTTTTTTTCTTTTTTTGAATCTTTTCCTGGAATAGTTGTCAGAGAACTGGGCTTGTTCTGTATCCACGCATCTTGCCATATCGAGGAGAGACTATCTTAATTTTCTGTAATGGTTTGTATGAAAATGATTAATAAGATAATGGTAAGGTAGACATTAAATAATGGACAGAAAAAGTAAATGATCCACTCATATGCCACACTACTGTTGGATTACTTAAGGGCAAAGGATAAGAATTTTCCCATTTCAAAATGTTGGGGTTATGTTAGCACCTATAACTTTCTAGGATTTAATTCTCTTATAAATTTTATTTATAATAAAAGTGCCCATGGTTCCTTGGCCTCCAAATTCAGAAATGAAATTATATCTAGGGCCTGTTGTATGTGAAGGATAATATTTAATCATTCTTGACGATTAGTCATCTAGCAATAGGACTATACTGATAATGTTCTCACTACAGATGGTTTCACTAAAATGTGTGTTTTTATTGTTTGGACCAAAGTGAGTTGGAAATATTACTTCCCTCATATAAAGCAAGTAAAGCTTATTCGTTGAGGTCGTCTTAAAAGAATAATCATTTAAAATTATCTGCTGATGTAGAAAATTGGATTTATTATTTTGTTAACATTTGCATAAAATGCAATTACATAGAAATTGATATTCTCTAAAAGCTTGTATTTAGCTGGGCCTTAGAAAATGGCTATGTACCATTTTAAAGTCCAGTTTGAAATGCCCAGATGGTGCTTTAGCATAGAAACATAAAATCAGTGAGATATAATTCATTGATTCCATTATAGGTTTGTTAAAGTAACCTTGACTAAGAATGTTTTGAGTAATGTTAGAATCTCACTTATAAATATTAGTCTATATTAGTCTACAGGAAAAAAAATCCTTTGCAGAAAATTTCTGTTGGTCACAGTCAAATACTTTGAATAGGGCTTTTCTGTCTGACAGTGTGGGTACCATAAGTTCGTTGATTCTGACAATATGTTATCCTTTAAAATTAGTATAAGGGTTCCCTCAGTTACCACAAATATTACCATTTGGGAATTAGGTCACTGTTGACCTTGGTTTCTTCAGTTCAGATGAACAAGCATTTAAGTACCTACTGTGTACTGAATTCTAGAGATATAAAATCAAAGAGATCCTTCCTCAGTTTATTCGGACCTTTAATCTCTTCTTTTCAAATAAAGTATATCTTTTCATTTCCATATTTTAATCGACTCACTGAATCTTAATGTTACCTAAGATCTGGGACAGCTTGGGATATTGGTACAAAATCTTCCCCTATACCACCACACACATAAACATACACACACAAACACATAGAGTGATTGGATGAGAGTCATGTTTATGAATAAATGAACAAATGAATGAGTGAATAAGTTAAAAGACATCCCCTTATAAAGGTCACCTGATCATCATCCAGTTTAGTCATAGTTTTACACTTAATTTAGCAACTTAATAAGTTTTGTACTTAATTGTTGAAGTTAACCAAGTTAACTGAAATCTAAATGCCTTTACATTGTACTCACTTTTGTTTTTCTCTTTCGTTAAGTATACCTTCTGACTGTTGGCAATCCCGTTATCATGATGAGCCTTCCTACTCCTTTGCCACCTTGTCAGTACAAGTTTTGACTTTAATTGTGGCTTTAGCTGGCCTTCTTGCCTCTCTTCCTTCTAATCTTCTACTCCACCGTCAAATTCTTTTTCTTTATGTACAGATTTTATGTCACTGTTGCTCAAAGCCCTTCATAGACTTAGATAGTTGGAAGAAACTTCAGAGAGTCCCATTCCAGAAACAAATTCTGAAAAGACTTTTTATGTGAAGCAAGAATCTGTTTCATTTCGCACATTTTCTTGACATTCTTGGGTGATTTTAGAAAGGAGACAGATTTTGTTTGAACTTTTCTATCTCCATCTTGTCAAAGGTCAATCTTTGTGTCCCTAGAAATCGCCTTTTAGTCTCTGTTTAAAGACTTCTAGAGATGGAGAATTCATCGAGAGATAGTCAGTCCATTATTGAACAACTCTAATTATTAACAAAAGTTTCTTCTTACACTAAACCATCTTCGCCTTCCCTGTAACTCTCACCCAGTTAAGCAGTATTGCTCTTCAGAGCTAAACAAAGCAAATCTCTTAGTTGCTTCTGTGACTCCCTAATGCCTACCAAACTCAAGACCCTCTAAAATCTGGCACCATCTCTCCTTTCCAACCCGATCTCACACTGTCTCCTTCTATATAGTTTAATGCTTCAGCCAGTCCAGACTGCTCACCATCTCTAGGGTCCCTGCCCCATGTTGTCCTGCTTCTAAACCTCTGTCCGTACCCAGAATCCTCCCTTCTTTTTAACCACCCTTCCAAGTGTTGAAATCATATCCATTGTTCAAGACCCAGCTCAAATGTTACTTTTCATAAGACCCCTGCTTCTTAACCCTAGTCATAAGGAATCTTTTCTTACTTGATGCTCAAATAGCATTTTGCTTATGCTTTCCTCTAGTGTACTTAGTAGGTTCCACTTCGTGTTTCAGTGATTTCTGTATGTTGTATCCCTCTGCTGGGTTGTAAGCTTCATTAGAGAAAGGGACTCCTTGTATCCTGCAATGCCTAACACAGTGCTTAGCATGAAATAGGCACCTGAAAATGTTTGATTGCAATTAATACTTTAATTTTTTTTCTGCAGAGGAATAAATCTATTAAGTTTCTTTTTTAGAATTTTTTTGTCTCTTTTTTTAGCTTTACAGATACTTTTATCTTTATGAGCCCCCAAGACCACCAAATATAAATGGAAAAAAATCTTATGAAGATGTTTCAAGATTATTTATTACAGAAATAACGATTTTAAAAAACTAAAATTATCATATAATTTAGAAGAGGAATTTTAGGTTACCTATAGATATTTTGGAGTTACTCTCTTATTCTGGGTTTTTATATTGGGCATCTCTAGCATCAAAATAGCACTTTATCTCTTTTTGTCCAGCCTTTCTCCCGGGATTGGGACTTGGGTAAAGACAATGCTCTGCACATTTCTGGTGGCTCTGTTGTGGCCTTCTATGAACCTGGCCTGTCTTATCCTTTCATTACATATTGAGTACTTTGCTCTTTAAGGATCACAGGGCTGGCTTGAGCTAGAAGGATACAGACTTTTATCAGGCCCTGTGCAATTAGATCAAGGGCTCAGTTTGATTACTGCCCTCCTGGGCTTTCCAGGCTCCAGGCTGATTTGAGTCCAGGCAACACAGCTGCGGTCTTGCCTCTGGGTGGTTCTCTGGTAAAGAGTGGCTGGCCCCAGCCCCTGTTAAAGAGCTGAAAAGGCTCAGCAGGATCAGAGAGACTGTGCTCCTGGCCTAGCTGTGTCTTGGGCCAAGGATTAAATTCAGGATTTCACTCTGGGCAACCAGTAGCCCTATGGCCTGGCCTCTCTTGGCCGTTCCTCCACCCCCTGTGTGGAGCCCCACTCAGAGGCCGAGTCCAAGATCCCAGCCCAGCCCTGTTCTAGAGTTCCTGCCCTGTTCACTTGCCTGTGGGTCAGATCTGGGCTCTTAGGCTCAAAAGATGCCCCACTGTAGTTTCTTCTTAGGTTTCCTAGTCACTTCTCAGTCTGATAGCCTTAAACCTTTGGTAGAGTCGTTTGGGGGCTACTGCTTCCTCCTATTCCAGCATCTTGGCTATTTCCCCAGGAGTTTAGAGGACAAGGATGTGTGCAGAATAATAAGATACCAATAGAATATATACAATAAGAAATGTTAACCACTAGATGGAATGTGGTGCATGAGCATTTTCCAAGTTGCCTAGGCATTTTATTCTTTGATATGAAAAGACATGCATCCTTTGTAAATTCTTAAAAGTTTATTTACATCGCTCAACCACATGCTGATAACACTAAGTATTCCCATATGAGACTGAGTAATGTGAGCTTCCTTAGGGGAAAGCATTTTTGTCGTCTACATTTAATACAGTGCCTGGCAAATAGTAGGCACCTAATGTTGTTGTTGAGTCGTGTCTAACTCTTCATGACCCCGTTTGGTGTTTTCTTGGCAAAGATGCTGGAGTGATTTGCCATTTCCTTCTCCAGCTCATTTTACAGATGAGAAAACTGAGGCATACTGGGTTAAGTTTCTTGCCCAGGGTTATACAGCTAGTAAGTGTCTTAGGCTGGATTTTAGCTCAGGTCCTCCTGACTGCAGGGTCCAGCACTCAATCCATTGTGCCACATAGTTGCCCTTCGGCACCTAATATGTACTTGTTGATTGATTATCTTAGCTTTTGACAGTGGGAAAACATTTTTGCTTTCCTGCTAGTCAGAAAAATGAGTTTAATTCATTCCCTCTCATTCTCCCTGCTCCCTTGATTTGAATGGGAAAGACCTAGGAAAATGTCCCTTAGTGTCATAGAATTTTATCTCATCAAAGATCTGAATAATCATCTAATTCAACCTGTGATTTTACAAATAAAATGAAAATCAGAGAGTTTGATTTACTCAAGGTAACATGACTAATAGCTGGCAGAGCCAAGACTAGACTTCCCGGTCCAGGTTCCATTTTTCTGCGAATTTGGGGTTGTTTTGACCTATAGATTCACAAGAAGGAAACCTGGATATAATTTCCCATCACTTTCCCCATACAAATGTCTAATAATCTTTTTATTTTTAATTTCAGTTAACATTTATTTTCTCTCTCTCCCTATAGGAGGGCAGTGGAATAAGGGGGGAAAGCGAAACTCTTGTAACAAATACACATAGTGAAACAAAATAAATTCTCACATCGGCCGAGTCCAAAGAACTCGATCTCATTCTGCATCTTGAGTCCGTCACTTCTCTGTCAGGAGGTGCATAACGTTGTAAAATTGTCTAATAATCATAAATCTGATCGCGTTATCTACTTGCCAAATATAACCCACCATTGCTGTTTGATGAACTTTTTGTTTTTCTCCTTTCTAATAGGTATGGTCTGAATATGCGTTGCTTGGCAGCTCGGGTCAACTATAAGACTTTGATTGTCATCTGTGCGCTCTTCACATTGGTCACAGTCCTGCTGTGGAATAAGTGTTCCAGCGATAAGGCTGTTCAGTTTCCACGAACCTGGAATAACGGTCTGAGAGCTGATGGATTAGAAAAAAGAGCAGCTGCCTCGGAGAGCGACGACAGTGTGAACCATGCGGCCAGGCAGCAGCCAGAGGAAGCATCCCCGCAGGAGCAGCAGAAAGCTCCCCCTGTAGTTGGAGGTTTCAACAGTCATGGGAACAAAATTCTGGGACTCAAATATGAAGAAATTGACTGTCTGATCAATGATGAACACACAATTAAAGGAAGGCGAGAAGGAAATGAGATCTTCCTCCCCTTCACTTGGGTAGAGAAATATTTTGAAGTTTATGGGAAGATGGTCCAGTATGATGGCTATGATCGGTTTGAGTTCTCTCACAGTTACTCCAAAGTCTACGCACAGAGAGCACCTTATCACCCTGATGGAGTGTTTATGTCCTTCGAAGGCTACAATGTGGAGGTCCGAGACAGAGTCAAGTGCATAAGTGGTGTTGAAGGTTAGTGTCACTACGCCCAACTCTTCTTACCCAGCTCTTTTGGACGATACGAAACGACAAGTTGTAATTTAACAGGAACTAAAGGACTTATGGCCGTCAGTCTTTTCAACAGTCGTACTTGCAGAGAAAAAATAATCTTTCCTCAGCTCAGATTAGTGCCCTAGATAGCCATCTACATGATATGATTTCAGGGTGTAACAAGGTCCTCTTTGACCAAAAAATGCCTATCACCCTACCACAGTGCCTGAAGTTCACACTGCATAAATTACTCTCTTGAGTTTAGGTGTTATGTTTCCAGAAGGCCACTGTTAAAACGTAGGATTTGTTTATCAGATTAGGTTGATGTCACCTTGAGAAACAGATGTAGGCCCCTTGCTAATCTGGGGAAAAGGACAGGTTTTCACTTTGATGGGGGAAGGGGAGCACGCATTGGGAGTACCACAAGAGGTTGTGAAAATGGTGGTGGGAAGTGGGAGAGAAGAAGGGTCAGAGTGAAAAGAGCTTTTTGGTACTTGGCAGAAAATACCTTGTTACAATGCTGTAGTTGACATGCGCAAGTATGAATTCAACTAAAAATCAAAAAAATAGTTTTATCTCTTTCAGCTAGCCCTGACCTCCCGCTTCAGCTTCAGTTCGATATTCCAAACCGCCAATAAAAAGATATCTCTAGTTACGTGTCCCCCACCACTACTACAAATGTCAGAAAATTGAACTATATAATCTTCCCTACTTCCCTGGGAATATCTTGCCACTACAGCGCCCCCTGTTCTTCCACAGCCATAGGCTTAAAACCTTCAAAATCATTTACCACTTCCTTCTGTCCTTTCACCGAGAATTTGTTAGTTACCAGGTGCTATTCTTTTTCCTAAACCAGTGTTTTCATCCGATATAAGGAACTTATAGCATAGAAACCCAAGCCTCTGTTGAAGACAGCTCCTGCACCTTATGTTTTCAAAAGTTGGTTGGGGTAAATGAGATGTTAAGTGACTTGCCCATAGTCATATAGCTAGTATTTGTCAGAGACAAGACCTAAATCCAGGGCTTCCTGACTCCAAGGCAGGCTGCTCTGTGCTAGTCCACAATGCCAAGTGCTCTGAAGTCTTTCATAATGTCTCCTGAGACTTGTGCCCTCCTTTCCATTTTTACCCCCACAAATGTAGCTTAGACCTACCTGGTGTTCTTGACCTAGGACTTGTAAGTTTGGTTTTTTTATATTTTGATAACTGTATTTCAATATAGTTGGTTTCCTTTATAATCCTGTATATTTTCTTTTATGCATTTAAGAGACATTCTGAGAAGGGACCCATAGCATAGGCTTTACCAGACTGCCAAAGGGGGAGGGGTGATAGACATTTTTTTGGTCAAGGAGGGTCTTGTTACCCCCTGAAATCATGACATAAAAAAGCTATTAAAAATCCCTGGCTTGGACCCTCATTACCTTGTGCCTGAATTACTGCAGTAACTTCCTGATGCTAGCTTTGTGACTGCAAAATTAAGTCACCAAACCTCCGTGAGCCTATTTCCACATCTGGAAAATAGCTATCATAAACGTTTAGTACCTATCTCAGAGGGTTCTTGTGAAGCTTTAAATGGAATAATGTATGTAAAGTGCTTTGTAAATTTTAAAGTACCATATTATTCCTAACTGACCTCCCTGCATCTAGTCCTTCCCTTTCCTACATATCCCTGCCAGATTAATCTTCCTAAAATACTGCTTTCATTATGGCATTCCCCTGTTTGACAGCCCCCAGAAAAGCACTATTATCAGCTCAAATCTAAATTCCAGCTCATTGCAGGGCTTTCTCAAAGAGACAGCATGATGTAATAAAAAGGGTACCAGATTTGGAGTTAAAGATCTAGATTCAGATCTCAGCTCTGCCACTTATCCTTCTGTAACAGTGGATGAGTTCCTGAGCCTCAGTTTCCTCATCTGTAAAATGAGAGATTTAGACAAGATTTATAAGGTTCTTTCCATCTCAATGTTATGAACCCAGCCAGGGCAATGCCTGGCAAAAAAGGAACCAGTTTTCCCTTTCTTTCTTTCCCCTTCTCTTAGGTGATTAAAAATTATTTTCATTTTACACAAACTTCCCTTTCAGCTGCACAAAACACTGCAACAGTCACATCTCACTTCTGAAATTACTTACCCAGCAACCTTGACTCTCTGGATAATAGCTGAAAATCCAGAAAGAACTTTAAGAAAAAAAGACCCTCAAGTAACAAGAATAGATGTCATCAAGTTTAAGCTCTAAAACAATGCTTGACTTCAGGGACTCACTCGTAGCCTCCTGGTACAAATTTTAGGCATAGTTCTAAGAAAGTTGCTTACCCAATTTCCCATCCCACAGAAGAATTAGAGTTTATTAGAAGGAGGCAGGACTGATCTTTAAAGCTAGGCATATGGCCAGCAGCGGGGAGTGGCACCTTGCAACCTAAAAGCAAGGAAAATTATTTTTTTAAATGCAGGTACAATGACTCTAAAAGCCTGGTGATCTCTTTGGTGTCAGGATCACATTATTGCGTATCTGAGCAGTCCAGGAGTGCAACTTTGTAGTATTGCACGTTAATTGATCAAATGATGGCTATGAATCATTGGAAAATATTAAATTTTGTTCAATCTCTTCTTTTCCAGAAAATGTGGAAGTGGTTACAGACATAAATATCTCCCTAAACATTATCAGCATTTTCTAGATATCCTTAACACATTGTAGCCCTGCCCTGTGATAACGGCATTTGGTTAGTTGTCTAGTACTCAGATCAGATAGTGGTGGTCAGAAAGCCTTCTCTCCTCACAAATTAGCTAGCTGTGACCGGGCCTTGATCTCCACAGAGTCATCTCTATTCATCTTGCCTACCTCCCCTCTCCATGTGTTGTTTATAGACTGGAAGAAAATGGGAATAATTTAATATTTTTACTAAGCAGAATCACCTTCCACACCCCAGAACTACATTTTTTTTGCTCCTCCTTCTTCACACTTTGAATAGCATTTTCTTTAGGTGCATCAACAGTATCTCTGAGCATACCTGTATACTATCCCATTTCCAACACTTACTGTAGTTACCATCCCATTATTCCTAATACAAGCTTTCGCATATACTAGCATTGTGTTTGTTTCTAGATCAGTTAATGGTATTAAGAAAGGCTGTAGACAGTATGTAACCAGTAAGAAGAGTTTAGAAAACTTTAAAAGGGGAAAAACTAGGTAACTGGGAAATTCACTTATGTGAAATAGATCGTTCCCCAACAATGCCAAATAAATAAAAGAATAAGAATAGAAGAGCTACATTCTTTTGACCAAATTTCATCCCTAAAATCAATAATTAGATTAAATTATTAGAATAATATGAGTGAAAAACTTGATAAAAGTTGAATAATGCTATTTAAAACATGTTGGCTCTTAGGAGTGATTCTTTGAAAAAAAAAAAGAATGAGAGCCAGTTCCTATGGTTGACCCTATTTCCCAATGTTGTTGTGAGGATTAAATGAGATATTTGCAAATCATTTAACTCAGTGCCTGGACACATAGTAGGCACTTAATAAATGCTTATTAAATTTTTTTAAATTAAATTTTATATTTTAGATTATGTAATAAAGTATCGAGTTATTTCAGTATTTCTCAAAAGAGTCAAAGAGGTGATATAATTGATGATATAACTAATGCAATAGAGGATGTAATTTAAATCATTGGCAATTCAATGGTCCTTACTTTTAATCCTTACATAGGGGGTTGGAGACTGCTGGACTTGGAGCTCCAGACTTAGTACTGCCACTGTCTACTGAAACATGTTCCTTTTTCTTACCTTAAAGGTTTGATGAGCCATGGACTAAACATCTACATGGTGGCTTTTTAATTTATTTGAGTGAGTTTGTAAAAATCAAATACTCAATTGTATAAATACTGTGTTTTCCATTTTTAAAATATTGCTAAATATTATTTCTGAACTAATTTTTCTTTAGTACCACTTAGATTGTGTCCCTCACCTCTTCAAAAACCTTCTGTGGTTTCCCCCATTTTCTACTGCATCGAAGGTAACTTTCTACCACTTTTCAAGATCCCCATGACCTGGTCTTCATCTTCCTGGCCATTTTAATTTGCTAGAACTCATGCGCATCATTCTTGAGACAGCCAGACTGGACCTCTTATAAACGTGGGATGCCCTTTCTGTTTTCATCTATCTAACCAAAGCCTGCACAGCCTTCAAAGCCTCTATCAGCTCCGTCCTCCTCCTATTAACTCTTTTCTGGTTATTCTATCCTGTTCTATTTCCTCTGAACTATCAAGTTATATCACATACTTAGAAATTGCCTTATATTGTCCACTATCATTTCATGGCTGTGTTGTACCCAACTAGCTTGTGAGCCTCCTTGAAGAGAAGGACCAAGCCTCAAGTATTAGCACCTAGCACGAGATCAGTCATTGCTCAATCAACAGTTTTAAAATAGTGGCAGACATAGAATTTCTTATTCTATTTTTACCAGAGAATCATAGTTAGTAGTTTACTTTCTCAACCTCCTTAATTTACTCATTGATCGCTTTTATGTAGATTAAGAGTTACTCTATGCAAAAGCACCCAATCTTTCCTTATTAATAAACAGAACTAGAGGGTTACTCAGGAGTAAACCTTTTCATTGATGATTTGCAAACAAAAATTACTTTTCAAACCCAATTTATTAACCACATTGAAGGAAGACATTTTCATTTGGTAAACAAGGTAGATTGGGGAACTTCTTTGGTTTTCTTATGTTTCTTTATTGTTTCACTTTTACCTTATAAGATTGTTCAACCAAAAACAAACTTTTAACTCCTAATAAACCATTATCTTTATGGTGATGTAACATAGACCTCAGTTTTCTAATCTTTAAATAAAGATGGATTAGGTGATCTCCAAGTTCTCTTCCAGTTCTAGATTTATTGTCTGTGAAATAGACAATAAAACATAAAAATCTTATAAGTTTAGAAAATATTTTTTCTACCCTTTAGAAGACCAGTACCAACCCATCCAAAACTTGAGTAAGATGCCACTAGATGGCACATTTGCTCATTTCAATATCACTGATTCCTGCTATCCATCACTACAGATTTGTATTGTTGAGAACCCAGACATCCATGCAGTATAATAATAATGATGATGATTCACATTTATCTGGTGCTGTAAGGTTTACAGTGCACTTTCTTCACAATGATCTTCTTAAGTAGGTAGTATATTATCCCAGTTTTACAGGTGAGGAAACTGAGGCTCTGAGTAATGAAGTGAAGAGTATGCAGCTATTCTTTAATGAGTTTGTATAAAATCACGTGATAATTAAGATGCAGACATTAGCACAGGTTCAACAGAACTTTGAGAAAAATCTACCTTGGGAGCAAGAAAACAGAAGAAGTCAGCTTGCAGCCAACAGATCATAACATATTAGGCCTCTGCCTGGATTTGCATAGGATGATTCAATACTAATTTCCTTAAAACTAAAGTGTATCTTGGAAGTGACACTGAAATTTACAGCCTTGCTGGTTCCCAACCAATTCTATTACCACTAACGACTTGCTGTTGAAGCCATAGGCAGAGGTACCTCTATGATAATAGTATTTAAGAATTGTTTCTTTAAGGTCTGATGTTCCCAAAGAGAAAGTCTCCTTTTAAGGCAGAGGAGTCAACCTTTATATGCTGTTTAGGCCTCTTTTTTTCCCTTAGTAACTTAGAATGGGTAGAGGTAGGACATGGCATTGGTCCCATTTTTTTCCCCTTTATTAGCAGAAAATGGACCCAGGACTGTCAGAGAAAGTTGGGCAGGAACCTAAATTATGGAACACCTCACATATTCTCTTGCTGTTTTGTTTCCTCTTTTGTCCATTCTACTTCCTTTTTCAAGCCTGAATTTGACTTCTAAGTTTAATCACTAAATAATGAGAACTGTTCATCACCAATTTCTGCTTTATGCTAATATTATCCAGCCAGTTTCATGCCTACTCTTTTTAGAGCAACTTTCTCATAGGTATCACATGTGTGGTACATGATATCAAATGGATGGGCATACATATACCACATTTTTGCCAATGTGTCATATTTTTAAGGAATTATAATGGTGGAAAGTAATAATAAAAATAGCTGACATCTGTATAGCACTCCATATTATTTCATTTTATGCAGAGTATACACATTTAAAGGTTTAACTCAGAAATTGGACATTACAGTTAAGATACTACATTTTCTTACCCACCCTCATATGTTTTAAATGCCCTTATTATTAAAAAAAATATTTTTCAACTTGCTTTTAAAAAAGCAAGTGCTTGTGAGCAAGGTCCACACTCTTTGAAAGTCATTGACAGTATTCAAGTCTTTAAATTCCTTGAACATGGCTCATGTTTTTAGCAAGTATTTTAACCACCAAATGATATGCTTAATTATTAGACCTCACCTTGACATTGATAAAAGAAGAGGAAGTAACTAGATTGTTACATTTGGCATCCAATAAAATTTCATTGTAAAGTCTTATGATGAGTATCTTTGGTAAAATTAGGTATTTGCTTCCATGCACAAAATTTTTAAGTGTATGAAGCTGAGTCATATAAAACATAATATCTCTGGATAGGATTAATGGTCCCCAGGAAGAAATGATGAGTCCTTAAAAGATCACTTAATTTACCAGTAGTGCTGTGATGCTATCAACAGCTAAATATCATAGAGAAAAGTTTAAATAATTATAAAGACAACATAATTTACTTTTTTAGAACATGGTTTTCTTCTTGATCTGAATCATTGACTGCAAGTTGGTAACACCGTAATAAAACAGTGAGGAATAGGATTCAAATCTGGTTTTTAAATGTTTTGACACATTTTATTTCTCCGTTTTATAGGTGTACCATTATCCACCCAGTGGGGACCTCAAGGCTATTTTTACCCAATCCAGATTGCGCAGTATGGTTTAAGTCATTACAGCAAGAATCTGACTGAGAAGCCCCCTCACATTGAGGTCTATGAAACAGCAGAAGAAAAGGACAAACACAGTCGGCCTAGTGATTGGACTGTGCCAAAGGGCTGCTTCATGGCTAATGTGGCTGATAAGTCTAGATTCACCAATGTTAAACAGTTTGTTGCTCCAGGTAAATTATTTATTATATTAGAATGTTTGCTACTCTTGAGATAAGATTTATAGCACATAAAGCTTTAAAAAAAAAAGATGGTTCTTTTCATGTGGATTTGATATAGGATTACTGTCGAATTATTTCCTCATTTCTTTCTCTCTACAGTTATTTGATGTTTATATTTATAATACTTCCAACACATATGATATATCCAGCATTCTAAGTCTGCAAAATCTTAATTTATCATAATTTACGGTAATGATATCAAATACCCTAGCTATTACCATAAGGAACTTGAGGGTTACTGAACAAATACACCAATCAATTCTAACACCTCTAAGTAGGAATAGTAAATATGTAAACACCCAAAAGGCATCAAACGAGATATTTCCTTAAGAAGGAACAACTTAAAAATTGGGGCTTATGAAACAGAATATTTACTCTGGGAGAGAGAGCTATGAGAGACTTTGGAAATCATTTAGCCCAACTCCCTCATTTTAAATAAGGAAACTAGGAATAAAGAAAAGTGATCTTACAGTTTTTTTTTTAAGATTTTTTTCCTTATTTTTATTTCACTTTTTTCAAAAAAAATTTTTTTCTTGGTGAAGATATCACTAAATTTCCCAATAAAAGAATTGATCTGATTTACAGAAGTTTCCCTAAACTATATTTTTGTGTGGTCTAGTCCATGTATACTTTCCACAAGAATAGGAGGAGAAATTCTGTCAAATGCATTGCTAAAAAATCTAAGTAAACTATACCTATAGCCTTTTCCTGATCTACCAGACTAGTAAAAGTGTCAAAAAGAGAAATAAGGTTAGTCTGTCATGACTTAGTCTTTGCCTCTTTGTGAGCATTTTCTAAATGCTAATTAAGAATCCATAATCATAGTCTAGTAGTTTGCCAAGAATTAAAGTCCAATACGCTGACCTATAATGCAAATTCCATTCTATTACTTTTTTTTTGACCATAATGCCATTTGTCCTTTTCCAATCCTACAGTACCACTTTCAGTCTCCACAACCTTTCAAAGATGGCTGACAGTCAGCAATCATAAGTTTCAATTCTTTCAGTGCCCTAGGATATAGTTCATCTGTCCCTAATGACCAGAATTTAATCAAGGGCAACTGGATGCTCCCTTCCTAAATTCATATTTCTCATGAGTATCAATTAAGTAACAGCCATTTTTGTTCTGTCCTTTCCAATCCCACAGTCCTTGGCAGCTTTTTGTTATCGGTTATCAGTCATTTACCGATCTCTTCTTTCCTTCTTTTCTTTTTCCTGTTTTTTGGCCACCCTTAGTTATGCTGAGCTTTATCATAGACACTGTTCTTTTAGGCATCACTTTTGTATTCATTTTCCTTTTCTCTGAACTTTTTTGTCCAGAGCTCCTAGTAGACTATGCCTAAGGTTTCTTTCTGTGGCTGTTATGAATTTTAAGATGTTAGTCACTTTTTTTTTGCCCAGGTTGCCTATCACTACCACTTAACCAACCAGTTCTTCCTTGCTGGTCACATTTAAGTCTAAAATAGCAATCCTCTCATCACTTCCCTCTACTTTGAGGATGAAACTGTCAAAAAGGCAAGTCAAAAATGCTCAGCTTACACAGCAGCTCAGTGTAGAGTGTGCAGACTGGGCTGCTGAGTGCCAGGCTTCCGGTCTTATCACAGCCTCCTGCTTGCCATGTGACCCTGAGACAATTTTAGAAGACCTACCAAGCTACAGTTAAAATTAGGCAGAGAGACTGGAAGTTCTTCTCTACCTAGTCTAAAAAATGTCATTCTGCTTGGTGAAAATACTCTCTTTGTATCACCTTTTTCTGAAAACTATTCCGGAGTGGTTTTTGGTTGTTGCTGGACAGTTATTCTCACTTCCTTTTATTTAATTCCAGAAAGTTTTTTTTTTTTTCAGTAGATTCAATGCAGAACATAGTCCAAAAAAAATGCTCTTACTAAATTATGCAAATGATAAACTGACAGACTAAGGCAAATTATCTAAAAATCACCCAGAAAACTTCTCTGCAAGCCAAGCCTGCTTTTGTGACAAGCTATATAGAATATAGAGCACCACAAGAAAAAAATGTTTTAGAAATTAGATAAAAAATAAAGGTTGCCCATTATTTAGACTATAGTAAGCACTCATCAGTTCATTACTTAAGGCTACAATGAGTAGATTTGTATTGTAACCTTCACAATCAGCAGATTACTCTGGCCTCACTAGAGGATAAAGAGAGAATGTAAAAGAAATCCATAACCTTTCCTCCTCTGAATATTTATCTTCCAAAAAGACACAAGGGTGTTCTTGACAACTTTTCCCTTCGAGACAAGCAAGCCCAAATTGCTAGTGAAAATTTCTTTATTGTCTTTTTCAAGTAATGGGCTCATTAATTCTAATGGATATTGATTAGTGGAGAAAAATACATTACATCCTTATTAATGAGTCTGTCTTAGTAAAGAGGGAAATGCTGCATAAAATTAATTTGGTTTCATAAGTGACTTTATTAATGAAAATGCTTTCATATGATGTTTGAATAAATCCAATATATTAAAAAATACAATTTTTAGCAATTACTGAGGGAAAATAGGTGAAGGACAGAATAATGCCTCTTCAAAGAAGAAATGGATTAATAAAAAAAAAACTGATATGACTTGAAACTATTCCAGAATAAAAACAAAAATGATTACTGGGTCATATGGTATTTTTGAAAAGCCAAAATATAAATCCCCACAATGGTTGAAAACTTATCATAATTTATTCAGAATTATAAGAGAACAAAACAGACACCTGAAATCACAAGATCACTCTCTCCTTCAATTGAAAAGAGCCCAAACTGAAAAATAAATAAATGTAGCAGAAATATTATTCCCAGATTGAGTCTATATTTTAAATGTCTTATCAGTCTACAAGAATCTATTAAGCAGTTGCTAAGTGTCCAGCAGGGTGCTCGGTTTTGGGGACACAAAGACAAAAGCATGGTCCATCCCTACCCTCAGAGAGTTCATGTTCCAGTGGAGAAGACAGCACTGAGATAACTGTGTACATATAAGATATATACCATGAGAGGTGATGGGAGATAGAGAGTACCAGGAAAGACTTCTTGCCAAAAGTGGAGTTTGAGCTGAGTCTTGTCAGAAAAGTCAGGAGGAGCCGAAGAGGGATGGTGTCCCAGGTCTGAGAGGCTGCTAGTGAAAAGGCTTGGAGTCAGGAAACAGATTTGTGTGCAAGGAACAAGAGGTTGGTTTAGATAGATTATAGGGGCCAGGTTGTGAAGGGCTTTCCAAGCCAAACAGAAGCTTTTCTATTTGACCCTGCAGGTAACAGAACCACTGGAGTTTATTGAATAGGGACAGTGATGTGCTCAGGCTTGTGCTACAGGAAACTCACTTCTGTAGATAAGTGGGGGATGGAGGCTAACCAGAAGGCTACTGCCAAAATCTAGATATGAGATGATGAAGGCCTCTTCAAGGGTGAAAGCTATGTTAGAATAGCAGGGGACAGACACGTAAGAGAGATGGAGGTAGGAGCAGCAAGACAAAATGTGGAAACAGATTGGATGTGTGGAGTCGGTGCCAGGCAAAGAGTCAAGGATGACACTGATATTGTGAGTCTAGGGGCTAGGAGGATGGTGATACCCTTGACAATAATAGAGAAGTTCTGAAAAGGAAAGGGTTTGGGGGAAAAGATGAATTCTGTTTTGGAACTGTTGATTTTGAGATGCCTACTGGACCTGGCAGTTGTAGATATCCAAAAGGCAGTTAGTAATACAAGAAGAGGTACCAGGAGAGAGATTAGGACTGGATCCATAAATGCAACAATCATCTGCACAGAGATCATTGAATCCATGGGAGCTGGTGAGATAACCAAATGAAACAGTCCAGAGAGAAAAGAGAAGAGGGCCTGGGACTTAGGAGACACCTACATTTAGTGGACATAACCCAGGTAAAGATCCAGCAAAGGAAATTAAGGAGTGGTCAGACATGTAAGAGGAGAATCAAGAGAGAATAGTCAGGAAAACCTAGAGAAGAAGCAGTATCCAGGAGAAGAAGGCGATCCGCAGTGTTACAGGGAAGTTAAGAAGGTTGAGAATTTTTAAAAGGCCATTAAATGTGGCCCGTTAGAGATCATTGGTAACTTTAGAGGGAGAAGTTTCAGTTGAATCATAAAATTGGAAGCCATGCTACTTACAGAGGGTTTAGAAGAGTGGCAGATTTTCAAAGAGTTCTACTTGAACCCAGAGAACAGAGTTCTAAGAATAATTGATGGAAATGGGAAAGAAGTAAATTTAGGCATAAGAGGGAAGACTTTTTGTTTTAAAATGAGAGCTGGCCAAAAGTAGATTTCGCTCTCACATGGAGGCTTTCTCAAAGGCCCGAAGACCACTTGTTGAGTATTAGTAGAAGCGAGTTCATGTTCTGGTGTGAGGTTTGTATGGGATGACCTCCTAAGGCCCCTTCCTGTCCTTAGGTTTTGTAATTGTGTCTGCAGTGGGATCATGGGCTGTGTCCTACAGACCTCTTCCTGATTTATCTACCTTGCTCAGGCTGTAGGCTTAAACAGAAAAGGAGTGATATTAATATGGTCCTTTTCGTGCCCTTTTGGGACTGGGAATAAAACAGATGACGCCTCCTCAGAAACTGCCTCACCTTTGGTTTTTAAAATATTTAATAAACTTTCCTGACACAATTGATCAAATATTCCAACTAATCTAGTTATCACATAGATACATGTACAGAGTATCCCAAAAATCTTAGCACACTTTTAAGCCATTAAAGCTTAAAGACTTTTTGGACACCCTATGTATGTAATGTGGTAACTACATTAGTTGAAATATTTGATCAATCATGTTAGGAAAGTTTACTAAATATTTTTTAAAAATAAATGTGATATGTTTCTGAGTAGATGTCATTTATTTTTATGTAAAATACCCATACATGTATAAAGGAAAGTAATTTTCAAAGAATGAGAACATGACAAAAATACATTAAACTAGAATTCTAATAAGTATAATTTAATCTTTGATTATAAAGGCTATTATAGTTAACATTGACTGTTACGCAGAAATGCTGGCTAAAATTACTTTTGCCCTACCAGAACCCACACAACTTGAACTTGGTTCTCAAGCTTAGCAAGATGCAAATGCATCTTTGGAGTAATTCCAGTAGCCATTTATCCCATAAAATCAGCTGACCTTTAGTTCTCATAATCTACACCAGCCGAACTTAAACTGTGCTGCTAGGCTTCGAAACAGTTTTATCTTCAGAAAATTAGCCACTGGGTAATTAGTGTTTCTGGCCAAATCCGTTCACAAAACCACTAGGGGTGGAAAGGTTACAGTCTCTACCTGTGGATAAAGTATCCCTCTCAGTGAAATTGAGCTGTCTTCCATGTAGAACAAAAGATATAGCATGTCTGTTAGATATTTTGTTGTTGTTACTGCCGGAGACACACAAACCATTATTCATCAGTCAGCATTAGGTTACAGAGAAAAGTTTAGCCTAATACCTGAGCAACTTGTTCCTAATCCTCTGCAGCAAAATATGACTAGTACAATTTGGGGAGGGGAGGAAGGGGAAAGTGAGAGGTTGGTTTGTCTTTTTAATATTAAAAAAAGCCATTCAGGATTCACTGATTTCATCATTTATTTATGCTCAATTTAGCAGTAAGAAATAATGAAGTGATACCTAAATTGAAATGTTAATTTCAAGTCAATGTCCAAATTGAAATGTTAATTTTAATGGAAGTGTCAATTTATTATATTGAATACCCTTGATGCAGTCAGATTTACTTTTTATCTAGCAGTGTTATCCCAGCATAGTTTTCTGGAAGAATTTCACTAAAATGTTCAAATTAAGAGTGTTTTCCTAATTAGCCTTTTGTTGGTATGTGTTTGTGTGTCCTCCCTCCAGAAACCAGTGAGGGCGTCTCTCTACAGCTTGGCAACACAAAAGACTTCATTATTTCTTTTGACCTAAAGTTACTGACAAATGGGAGTGTGTCTGTGGTTTTGGAGACCACGGAGAAAAACCAGCTCTTCACAGTGCATTATGTTTCAAATACTCAGCTGATTGCTTTTAAAGAAAGAGACATTTACTATGGCATTGGGCCCAGAACTAGTTGGAGCACTGTCACTAGAGACCTGGTCACTGACCTGAGGAAAGGAGTGGGTCTCTCCAACACAAAAGCTGTCAAGCAGACCAAAATAATGCCTAAGAAAGTAGTTAGGTTAATTGCAAAAGGGAAAGGATTCCTTGACAATATCACCATCTCTACCACAGCTCACATGGCCGCTTTCTTTGCTGCAAGTCATTGGCTGGTCAAGAACCAGGATGAAAAAGGGGGCTGGCCAATTATGGTGACAAGGAAGTTAGGGGAAGGGTTCAGATCTTTAGAGCCCGGCTGGTACTCTGCCATGGCCCAAGGACAAGCGATTTCAACCTTAGTAAGGGCCTATCTTTTAACCAAGGACCACGTATTCCTTGACTCAGCTTTACGGGCAACAGCACCTTATAAGTTCTTGTCAGAACAACATGGCGTGAAAGCTGTCTTCATGAACAAGTATGACTGGTATGAAGAATATCCCACCACCCCTAGCTCGTTTGTTTTAAATGGCTTCATGTATTCTTTAATTGGACTGTATGACTTAAAAGAAACTGCAGGGGAAAAACTAGGGAAAGAAGCAAAGTTGTTGTACGAGCGTGGCATGCAATCCCTGAAAGCCATGCTCCCCTTGTACGACACTGGCTCAGGCACAATCTATGACCTCCGGCACTTCGTGCTTGGCATTGCTCCCAACCTGGCCCGCTGGGACTATCACACCACGCATATCAACCAGCTCCAGCTGCTGAGCACCATCGATGAGTCTCCCATCTTCAGAGAGTTCGTCAAGCGGTGGAAAAGTTACCTGAAAGGCAGCAGAGCAAAGCACAACTAAAGCTTGAGACCAAAATCACATTTCAGCCATCTGCTGTCCACAGGAACGATTGGTCACTCTTTCACAGCAAAACAAAGGCACGTTTTAAAAGGTCACATGCTAAATTTTTGTGGATGACTTTAATGAAGTGATCCTTAAAGGTAATCCAAAAGAATTGCATTCCATGATGTGGATGTTGAGAAGCGTAAGTGACATTTCTAGCATGAGGGCTGAATAAAGGCTACTCCCTTTACCTTGCTTACCTATAGTCCAGTTTGATTAGACATGCCTTAAAAAAAATTCACACTCAGTTTGGGGAACATCATTTTCTTCTTATAGGAAAATGGTTAAATAGCCATACAGTCCTTCTGTCTAGCCCTTGCCTAAAAATTTAGTATGTGACCTCTTTTAAAATGAAATTACTTATGTATGTGTTGGAATTGGAGTAAAGAAAAATCATGTGCTGTAATGAAGTAAATGTCTATTTACTTGTAAACTGGATAGTGGACTGTGTACATCTTTTTAAAAGATGTTTCTTTTCTACGGAATAATTTGTGGGGGAGCATTTGTTAAATTTGGTATATATGGAGAAATATTTTGAGCTTATCGTTTTCTTGAAATGTACAAATTAAAAACATAAAGCCAGTTTTCTGGCTTCAAAGTTACATTCTGTAAGCACAAATAAGAGTGAAAAGAATTGACTGCACAATTGCATTCATTCGTTTTGATGAAACTTGATCTCCAATCAGTTGAAAGTTTGATCATCAATCAGTCCCCCCTGCCATAGTATTGGGTTCTTTTTGTCACTGCTTGGAATTTTGTATTGTTATTTCAGGTTATATTTAAGAATTCTCTTCATTTTGATATCCCATCCTTTGTGAAACTTTATCATCAGCCTACATTTGTAAAGAATCTAATTTTCATAACCTGCAGAAAAACTTGACTTCAACTTCTAATAGGCCTGAGTAGCTTCTTTTCCCTGAAGTAATTTACTTCAAGGGCTTTTTTGAATCAATGTCCATTGTTATAACCGTTCCCTACCCCCATACATGCTATAAAGGGGGAACAATGTAGTGTAAGCATTAAATTCAAGATACATGCTTTTTTCATACTTTAAGTCATTGATGTGATGTACATTAAATTTTTTTTTCTAGTGTTAGAGAAAAATATTTCAGCAGTTGGATAAGAGAAGCTGCTTCTACATGTGGGCAGATTTCATAGCTCTTCACACCCACTTGTGTGTAATCTGGATGGATAAAGGCCTTCAGAGTCATTGATCAGGTCATTGAGCCAGTGGGGGTGGGGTGAATATAATTTGCCACTGGCCTTTGTCTTAATTCCATTAGTAACTGGTTGGTTGCAGGCCATTATATTAATGCCTTATAGCAATACTGTGATTTCTGTAAGTTATAACATGATGCCCCACAATTCCCAAGTAAAAAGCCTGTCAAGTACAATATGGCTTAGCTACTCATACCAAATGGTCACCAGAAACCAAATATGTACCCTATCAATCTGCAAAATCTCTTTTATTTATGGTTCAAAAAAGGAAGTTGAAATTTTTTGAGAGGGTTCATGAGCCAAGGAAAAGATGCATGTCAGCACTAAGATAAAATCAATCTGGTCAGAGAAGAAGCAGGCTTGAAGCAACCAATGTTGTTTAACCATTCGTTTTTAATTTTGCAGTCTGAAAATTCTGAACTCAAAGCTTTTTTTTTTTTCCTCAGTGCCAGAGTCCAGAAAGTCTGTGTGTAATCTCCCCCCCCCCGCCCCCATTTGATTCATTGTGATAGCTAGGCTGTTCTAGAAATATGAATACTCCAGGCTTCTCCCAGATGTGTTTGCACACCCTGAAGGAGTTCAGTTTAGGAAGATTCACGAGAGTGTTATGGTACTGCTTTGGAGACAAATATCGGTGCCTAAACAATTTGGCTGTCTTCTGTGCAGAAAAGAAATACGGTGACTTTCATCTGGAAATGTCAGAAATGAATGACGTTGGTGTTTCTGTGCTGTTGGTCAGACCTTGCATTTTTTACCATAGCAGCAGCAGCGGTGTGATTTCCTTGGTTCTAAGAGAGGGCCCTGAACCTGTGGCACCATTGTTGGGAAAAACATATGGAGACTACATTATTATGTTCCCCCCAAACTGTCCATTCTTTCCATTTGTAATTGTCTCCATAAATACCCTCAGTGAGAGCTGCTTATATTTAAACCATTGATCTGTGCATTCTTGTTCTGAGCTTGGCTGGGGGTGACGCTGGGTACTGGGGAAAGGGAATGGGACCGCGGTAGTGTATAGTATGTATGATCTTGCCTTTAGCTGACTTTGATTTGAACCTAAACCTCTTTTGGCATTTCACGTGTAAAATCAAATCATCCAAGAGTGGAGGGATGCAAGTTCCATTTGACCTTTGGATCAGTAGTATTGTACATAGGTTTCATCTAAGAAACATGATGCATGTGAGCATATGCAACAGTGACACACAAGCACAACTCTACAAGCGTGGCAGTCTTCTTTTCTTGACCAGTGTATGAAAGCCGTGCACTGGGAGCTGCTATTTTCATCCACCTTCTGGTCTTTCTTTTCTCTTGTTTCTTTTTTGTTGTACATGTGGGTTGTATACCATGTGTTAAATATGCAATAAAGTGTTTACTGGATGCCCTTCTAAAGGGTAGTCCTTTGTAAAGCTGTACAGACTTTGCAGTTCAAGCACAATGTGCACATGTTAGTTTTATATACAGCAAAACTTGATTTTTTGCAGACAGAAAGGTATTATGTTTCTATACAAAGTAAATGGATCGTTTGTGCTTAATGTAAAGCTGCTTTATAAAATTGTAAAATAAATTTTTATCTTGAGAGCACTATGCCTGAGTGGTTCCGTTTGTCTGCTCGTATTCCAGGAGAGAGTGGAGGAAGCGAACCTCAGCTCCTGAGCTGAGGACTAGACAGGGACAAGACTCTCACAGGGTCATTTGATCCTTGTGTTGTTTGGGGGAGAGAGAGAAAGACTGAGCCCATTTTATAGATGAGGTAACTGAGCGATGGCAGTAGCCCATTACTTCCCACAGTTGTTCTGAATAGATAACTTCCTGTTAGACCCATGCTAGTTAATGTGCTATGCGCCCATTCTAGAACTCCTGCTGAGGGCCTTGGGAGTACCCAAGAATTATGAGGGTGGGCCCCCAAGCTTTCAATGTAAATGCAGAGACAAACTAACCCATGGGAAGCCATTTTGGAACAGGGCTAAATTAATGGCTCACCAAACTTTGATCCGTGAGGTTTGCAAAGTGCTCTGTTGTTGTTTTTACCCACATACATTACATTATCATTGTTGGTTTTACACACACATTACATTATCACACGTGACCTAAATAAGGGTCAGGATTCAGAGACGGGAGAAGTAAATCATTGTGAGTTGGAGACTTCACAATGGTGTCTGATCCTGGGCCTTGAAAGAGGGGGCAGAATTTGGATATGCAGAATAGAAGGGGAGGATGTTTCAGACCAAGGAACAAAATGATCAGACAGAACGTCACTGCAAGAGAAAGGATACCCTTTTCTTTCCTGTTTGGATGACCTTATTAACTCTGTTAATGCTTTTCCACACCTTTTTGTCCTTGCCTATCCTCCACAACACCAAGTACTGGTCATCTTATTTTAAAAAAAAAAAAAGGCTCCTCAGCCCATTGGGATTTGATTCATGAATATGTACAAAACTGTAGTCCTGTCTCTGACTAAACAGTGTTCTTCCCAGAACTCTGCAGGGTAAAGCAGTGGAGTGTTACTCATAAACTCTGAGGTCCATGAACAAACTCCCATGCCCCCACTCCTCACTGCCCTCAAAGATCTCCTTGTCAATGGTGATTGCGGCTATCCTTGCTTACATCATCAGTGCAAGACCTCAAACTCTCCCAGGCATCACGGAGTCTGTCTTTTGGCAAATCAACTTCACCTCAATTGAACGAAATAATCTCCTAGTTTCCTTTCTAAAATTTTGTGAGATATAATATGTGTATATGTATATACACACATATGTGTGTGTGTATGTATTCATATTCAGCCTCAGATACTCACTAGCTGTGTGACTCTGGGCAAGTCACTTAATCTCGGCCTTGGAGGCATCTAGGTGACTCAGTAGGTAGAGTGCTGGCCCTGGAGTCAGGAAGACCTGAGTTCAAATTTAGCCTCAGTCACTAGCTATGTGACCCTGGAC